CTTCTGTGTAATCACTTTTGTCACTGGGATACCATTGAGGTATCCCAGTGACAAACTGAGATATTGAGGACTGCAGAATGGAAAGGAGAAATCTTTATTGAAAATCAACACCACCAGGGTGACTTTGCCAGTGGGAGCAATTTTTAGTACAAAGAGACTTCCCCGTCCTGGCCCAAAACCCCAAATGACTTCCCAGTGATGAAAGTGATTACACTGGAGCCTTGAGATCTTTGGGAAGAAACTATAAATGTTTAATTGCGTAAAAAATTAGCCACACCTGATGATGTCATCAACCTTATGCAGCATAACTTATGCAAGAGGATTTCAGACAGAACATCTAAAAGCCATGTATACTGGGACTTAAGATTGCCCACCCTTACTAAAAAGACAAGAGGCATGCCTTAATTGGTTGAATATGGCATATAGGTTGCAATTCTGTGCCTCCTCGCTGTGCGGGGCACCACTGTATACTGGGACTTAAGATTGCCCATCCTTACTAAAAAGGCAAGAGGCATGCCTTAATTGGTTGAATATGGCATATAGGTTGCAATTCTGTGCCTGGGAGTCATATTCATAGAAATCAGAGAGATTTGATATGGATAGACATGCAAAGAAGTGCAATGCTAATAAAGCAGTGCTGTGAAACCATGCTTTTATGAATGGCCAAAATTATGCTTGTCCCTTCTGCTTGCCCAGTGGGCCAGAAAGCAAGTATGAGTTTAAATTTACCTTGGAGTGATATTTCTCTTGAGCCTTTCCCTGAATTATGTCTTTAAATTCCTAGAGAACCTTGTACTGTAAAGTAATTCCTGTGTTGTCCTAGAGAGGAGTTACTGTATTATTACACCCTGTAGTTCTTGCTACAGCCTTTATTCAGCAGCAGGTGGTGCTGTATTGCCATGTGAAGCGCTGCCTAACCATACTAGCCCTGCCTTTGTGTTTGAACTTTTAAAAAAATCCCACACTTCTCTCTTACTGAAACAAAATAGCAAAATGGGTCAAATTGCTCTGTGTGTGATTTAGCAGAATCAATTATTGTTCTTTTTGTGAAGCTTAAAAACATTTTTAAATATACTTGGTCTTCGGTGTACTTGCCTCAATGTAGAACATTTATTAAGGCTTGTTCACTTTCCTAACATATCACCTGCACCAATACGCATATAACATTCCCTTTTTTAAAAAAAAACCTGAATTGTTGTAATGATTAACGTTCCACTTTCTCTGTTTCGTCCCCATAGGACCTCTTCTCTCGACTCACCCCATTCCTAAACGAATTTCTCCACCTCGTCCCTGTATAGTCCATTTATCCTGCCATTTAATAT